AAATTTCCCTTTGGGCCCAAGTTTTCAGTTCTGTAAGTGTCTCAGGGAATGGAAGTCACAGTTGCTGTGTGAAGTACATGTTACGTTTCTATAAAAATCCCGGGCTTTTATTTTATTTTTTTAATGTTTCTATTTTATTTTTGAGAGAGAGAGAGACAGAGCATGAGTGGGGGAGGGGCAGAGAGAGAGAGGGAGACACAGAATCCAAAGGAGGCTCCAGGCTCCTAAGCTGTCGGCACAGAGCCCGATGCGGGTCTCAAACCCACAAACTGTGAGATCATGACCTGAGCTGAAGTTGGTCGCTCAACCGACTGAGCGCCCCAAGCGTCCCCAAAATCCTGTGCTTTTAGATTTATGAAGAGATACCCAAACACTGTCATCTATATGAAATTTTCTGGAAACTTATTAAAAAAATAAATATATAAATAGAAGCTCCTCCCCAAGGCACATGAAATCTTTATTCTAGAGGCCATAGCTCTGTTTCGGACACTTGTGTAAGAATTCTCTGCTAATGACCAGCACCACTAGAGTTTTTCATGACTATCCTTTTTAAAATCTAGTATTCCACAGGTGCCAATTGAGTAGTCTGAAATGGAATTAGATGTTTTTAGGACCAGAGTTTAATATACTTACTGTGCCTTCCAGAAGAATTTATTTTCCACCATTAACAACTTCCCTTTTCTCTAGCTCTGAAGCTCCAGAAGAATCCGTTCAGTAAGTGGATTAATTTATTCCTTCCTGGTGTGGTGTTTTGTGGCATCGATAAAACGAGAGGGGCAAAAGCCAATTTCAACAACTACCTGCTAAAGAAATAAATTCTTCTTAATAGGGATGATATTTCCATGCCCTGAGTCCTGGGGAGAAAAATCTGGCAAACAAGAAAAGATTTATGTAATCCTTTCCTATGAGAATGGTTTTACAGTGGGTGCACACGGGCAGAATTTTGCTAAACACGTTTTGAACTAGGCAGGACTGAGTTTCTTTAAAGCCGTAGGTGGATAAAATATCATCCAAGTTTTTTTGAGCAACATTAATGTGTGAGCGATCCGCTTTGTATAAACAAGAATGAATTGCTTTTCTAATCATGACAATTGCTATGTTTCTGATCTCCTTAAAATATAAGCAGGGGAACATCGTGAACTCTCTTGTCAGTTGACTACATTTCTCCGTTGTTTATAAGAAAATCCTGAGCGAAAGTCCTTCCAGCTTATTATAATTAGTCCAAAACCTGATTATAAACTCGTAGTCATCTGTGAACCTTAAAAGGATTAGGAAACTTAAGGTTCTTGTTTTTCTATTTAGTAATTTTTTTTTTCAACCTTTATTTATTTTTGGGACAGAGAGAGACAGAGCATGAACGGGGGAGGGTCAGAGAGGGAGGGAGACACAGAATCGGAAACAGGCTCCAGGCTCTGAGCCATCAGCCCAGAGCCTGACGCGGGGCTCGAACTCACAGACCGCGAGATCGTGACCTGGCTGAAGTCGGATGCTTAACCGACTGCGCCACCCAGGCGCCCCTCTATTTAGTAATTTTTTTAAAAAGCCCAGCTAATTCAGAGCTACTGTAAGAGAGGCGAAAGAGTACCTCTTCATAAAATCACAGACACCTAGGGCAGAAAGGACCTTCACAACCATGAATATAGCACTCCTCTTATTTGGCGGATCGAAAAATTGAGACACAGAAAGATTCATTAATTTGCCCGCGATCACATGGGGAGGCAGAGCCAGGAATGAAATCCAAGCTTTCTGACCTGGAGCCCAGTTCTCTTCCCACTATTCAGACTTTTTCGTGATCTACAGTGATGAGTCTGGCTCTTCTAACTCCTGTCCCTCCCAGACCCCCTCCTTGGAGGCAGCCACTATAAAGAATGAGGGACTTTGGGGTGCCTGGGTGGCTCAGTCAGTTAAGTGTCCGACTCCGGCTTAGGTCATGATTTCGCGGTTCGTGAGTTCGAGCCCCGAGTCCAGCCCTGTGCTGACAGCTCGGAGCCTGCAGCCTGCTTCAGATTCATATTCTCTCTCTCTCTCTCTCTCTCTCTCTTTCTCTCTCAAAAATAAGTAAAAACATTAACAACATAAAAAAAAAAAAAAGAACGAGGGACTTTAAACAGACTGTTTTGATCAAACAATATGCCTAAGTTGACACAACATTGCCTTAGTCTTCATGGATTGCAGCCTGGCCTGCCAAGTTTAGGTGATGCCCAACAGAGGAAAAACATAAGCCGTGGAATTAGAATAGGCAGGGATTTGTGAATTGGATTTGAAGATTACCCCAAGCCCACTGTATTTCCAGTAACAGAGGTGAGGACTCTCTTACAGCAGTACCCTATTACTCAGGTACTGCCTTGTGTACAAAGAGCCTCAAGTCTACTCTAAGAGCTCCATGACATGGAGAATCCCTGTGAGAGCACTGAACTGTGTACAACTGCTTTAAAATCTATAGCACATTGGACCAAATATCCCAGGCTCTCTGAAGCCATCGGCGTGAGACACCACATGGATCTACTTCTCTCAGCCTCTGGGTCTCCGCTGCCTTCCTTGGTGACACCTTAGCGCTTGGTCCTTGCGTGAGACGCACCCGAGCACTTGGCCTGGCGTGTTCCTGGCAGAGTGACCGAGTTGGATGAGGAGGTAAAAGGGGCTCCAGGGGTACGTGGACGCTGGGGTACGGTGTGAGAAAATCAACAGGCCCCTGGTGCTGCCCAGCGCCCACACAGGTCCTACAGCGGGCAGGGTACCCGCGGGGTGAGAGGCCGAGCTGGAAAAAGCTGTGCGGCCTAGCATGTGCGGTTGTTGTGGTGTCGAAGGACGGAGACGGCAGGTGTCTCTCTGTTGTCAGCACCTCTGTGTGACTGTCTGGCAACAGATTTCACACGACGGGGGTAGGACCTAGGAACCTCTAGGTGGTTTAAAGAGCTGAGGATGGGTCCGGGGAAGGGACAGATAGAGGAAAGGCAAGGGGAAGGAAGATAGCTTTTTGACAACTGTACCTTTAGACTCCTGGATTGTGGGTGTCGCCTTCTACTCTAAAGTAGTGATTTTCTTTTCTTTTTGTCCTTCCGACTTCCCTGATCCCTGTCCTTCAAAGATTCTCCTGGAGTATGTGTGAGAAGTTCAGCTTTTGGGGCACCTGGCTGGCTCATTTGGAAGAGCGTGCGACTCTTGATCTTGGGCTCATGAGTTTGAGCCTCACGGTGGGCGTAGCGATCACTAAAAATAAATAAATAAGTAAACTTCGAGAAATGGAAGTTCAGCTTCCTTGGTGTCTGCCCCAGAGATTCTGCTTCAGTGAGTCTGAGATAGGGTCCTTGAATACCTGGCTAGTTTTCATAGGTGTTCCAGGTGATTCTGAGGAAGCTGTGATTGGCGCCAGGGCTGTCGTCATTTCTAGATGTTCTGCTCCAGATTTGTCCTCCATTGTAAATACAAACATTAAGAGTATAGGGAGTCCTTATCCCTTACAAAATGAAAGCTTTATTTTAAAAAGCATGCATGCTCCTTTTCACCTGATGATAACGCACCTGTGTTGCTTTTTTGTAAACATTTCTGAACATTTGAAACACCGTTTGAAACACTGCCATATTGGTTCATAGTGACTATTAAAACATGAGTGCTGTTAACCTTTACAAAAGAACCACTGAGTGGTTTTGTTTTTTGTGGTGGACCTGCCATTATATTTGGCCTGGACCTGTGTCTATGAGTTTTAAAAATTAGTCAGAATTGAGAGAGTATGGTGATTGTTGGTGACTGTTTTCTTAAGAAGTTTTTATTCCAGGGGCGCCTGGGTGGCGCAGTCGGTTAAGCGTCCAACTTCAGCCAGGTCACGATCTCGCGGTCCGTGAGTTCGAGCCCCGCGTCGGGCTCTGGGCTGATGGCTCAGAGCCTGGAGCCTGTTTCCGATTCTGTGTCTCCCTCTCTCT